ACACACCCCTTCACACTGTCCCCCACACCCCCCCTCACACTGTCCCCCACATACCCCTTCACACCCCCTCACCTGTCTGTGAGAGTCGAGCGGTAACTGCGGCAACACTTCATCCACACTGGCCAACAGACTGCGGAGTTCGCTGCCCACTTTCTGTGGAGGACAAGACACATGGAGACACAACTAGACACACAATTTGATGTTGTGTCATGTATTGACACAGACAACTTGCTGTTGTGTCATGTGTTGTGTTGTGTCATGTGTTGTGTTGTGTCATGTACTGTGTTGTGTCGTGTATTGTGTTGTGTCATGTATTGTGTTGTGTCGTGTATTGTGTTGTGTCGTGTATTGTGTTGAGTCATGTATTGTGTTGTGTCATGTATTGTGTTGTGTCGTGTATTGTGTGTCATGTATTGTGTTGTGTCATGTATTGTGTCGTGTCGTGTATTGTGTGTCATGTATTGTGTTGTGTCATGTATTGTGTGTCATGTATTGACACAAACAACTTGCTGTTGTGTCATGTATTGTGTAGTGTCATGTAATGTGTAGTGTCATGTGTTGTGTTGAGTCATGTATTGTGTAGTGTCATGTATTGTGTTGAGTCATGTATTGTGTAGTGTCATGTATTGTGTTGTGTCATGTATTGTGTAGTGTCATGTATTGTGTTGTGTCATGTATTGTGTTGTGTCATACACGGATAGGACCAACACAAGACGTGAAATCATCCGTCCCACTATGCCAGCCATCCGTCCCACTATGCCATCCGTCCCACTATGCCAGCCATCCGTCCCACTATGCCATCTGTCCGTCACACTATGCCATCCATCCCACTACGCCAGCCATCCGTCCCACTATGCCATCCGTCCCACTAGGCCAGCCGTCCCACTATGCCAACCAACCGTCCCACTATGCCAGCCAACCGTCCCACTATGCCATCCGTCCCACTATGCCATCCGTCCCACTATGCCAGCCATCCGTCCCACTATGCCAGCCATCCGTCCCACCATCCGTATCCCTCGAACTACCGAGGCCAGTCCCAGCGAATTCCAGCTATCTATGTTATACTGTATTCTTTTTCTTTTTTTGATGTTGTTGTTGTTGCTGTTGTTGTTGTAGTTGTTGTAGTAGTTGTTGTTGTTGTAGTAGTTGTTGTTGTTGTAGTAGTAGTTGTTGTAGTAGTTGTTGTTGTTGTACTTGTAGCTGTTGTAGTTGTAGTTGTTGTAGTAGTAGTTGTTGTTGTTGTAGTTGTTGTAGTTGTAGTTGTAGCTGTTGTAGTTGTAGTAGTAGTTGTAGTTGTAGCTGTTGTAGTTGTAGTAGTAGTTGTAGTTGTAGCTGTTGTTGTTGTAGTAGTAGTTGTAATAGTAGTTGTAGTTGTTGTGGTTGTAGTT